GTGAGTCCACTTCTAGTCCAGACTCTTGAGGTAGGAAGGCATGTACCATCACTCTGGATCTTGAGGCAGGAAGACACACCTGTCATGCGGGCCACACCTTCTGCTGGAAGCCTGCATAAGGCCTTGGAAGAAGAAAGCTTTTGCTCTTTGCCTGCTTGCTCCTCCATTCGTTTACTGGCCTTAGAGCATACTTCTTTGGGATTCCAGTGTCTACTGAAGACCAACTGAGTCATCTAGCCTTGCGGACTGTGTAAGTTCTCTGTTCTTGGACTTTCGGTTCATAGGCCTCCATTGCTGGATTAGTTAGACCATAGCCTGTGATTCTATAAATCACACACACACACACACACACACACACACACACACACACGAATTGTGTGAATTTAAGGCCAGCCTGGTCTATAAAGAGAGTTCCAGGCCAGTCAGGGCCACCATGACACTCTGTCTCAAAAAACAAACCAAACTCTGTCTCTTGAATTGGCTTATCAGCACAGGTAGTGGAATCTGCTAGAGCCGAGGCTTATCTTTTCTTAAAANTATATATATACTGCAAGCAATTTTAATTTATCTGACAGTTCACTTATACATACGTGTCACCAAGTGAACACCCTAAAAGCATAAGTACATGTAGACAATATAGACAGGTCTTACTTAAATCACCAGATTTTTGTGTTAATTGTCAATTTTAAGTTATAATATTGATCAGTTTTAATTTGTTGACATTAAGCAATCCTTAATCCAAAAATGACTCAATAAATAAAACAGAAGAGTCTTGATTTTTGAAGACAGAAAGTCTAAGCCTATTACTGATTAGGATTTCAGCAGATGTGTAGGCCTCGGCAGCTTGATTTTAAAACGGCTTTGTTGTCGTTTAAATTGCAAAAACTCGTTTTTTGAAACAAGAGACTAAAGGGAGACAGACAGTAAGTTCTGCTCTTTTTTTTTTTAAATCTCTTGTTATTTTTATCCTCAATAAGTATGGTTTCCATTAGCCTTTCCACCCTCTAGGGCTCCAGGCAAGCATCCTTTATCACGACTATCTCACTCCGACAAATAGACAGGACATTTTTTCTCAGGAAATTACTGTGATAAATTAAGGAACCCTACATGAAAAATCTGTGACACTAAAAATGGCTGGTAAACGGGAGCCGTTATGTTTATGTTTACTAGTTCGTGGAAATAAACACCAAAGATCCTAGAACCAATGACGCAGACTAAATCTCAAATACATTACTTGACCATAGCAATATAACCCTGAAATAGGGATTTTAAACTTGTAATGTCCCAGAGTTGTTAGATTTAGAGGATCGGGACAGAACCCCTCCCCCACAGTCGCTCACATAGCTCACATAATATCAAAACAACGAATCCCCTGTAAGTATGACCTAGAAATAAGGTTCCTGTGCTCCATCCTGGCAAGGCCAACTCTAGTGGTACCTAGGGGAAAGGCTTAGAACTCTTAAATAGTCGAGGTAAAGGGCCCTAACTGCATTTTAGCTGTATCTAAGGTAGCCCTAACCATGTTGTGTACGTGGGTGGAAACTACATTTGTGCCCAGAAGCCTCGAAGAGGCAAGCAGAAGTGTTTCTGTTCGTGCTCTGGGCACCCAGCACCTTGCCCTTGCCTGGGGTCCGGCTTATTTGTCCCCCTTGCTCCATTTCTTCAGTCTTATCCCGATTCTCCGTGCTTCACCGGGATAGTCAATTCCCAGGCTTTTCTACAGGCTGGCCTAACAGTTCAGAACGGCGGCGCGGGACTGGGGCTGGCTGGTGGGCGGAGTAGCTCAGAGCCAGCAGCGAACCGCGACCTTGGGCGGCGGCGGCGGGCGGAGCCGCGGCGACAGCCAGAACCGTGCCAATCTCCTCCCGGCCGCGCTGCCCGTCCCGTGGGGAAGGTACAGCGGCGGAGCTGGGGACGAGGCGTGAGAACTGGGCTGACGAGGATGGCTGGGGGCGGACAATAGGGTTAAAAATAGACGCGCTGCCTCCGTGGACCGGCCGCGGCAGCTCCACCCAGGGAGCCAGCGGCCGGAGACTGACTAGGCTTACGGTGACCGCAACCTCCGGCCTAGCCCCGCCCCCAGACGCGGCCCCGCCCCCCGCTGGTGCCTGCAGGCCGGGGGCGGGGCCTTGGCCCGCAACGTCACCGCGCCGCGGCGCGCCGACCGGGTTTTCGCTGACGCACAGGCCCCGCCCCCTCCGCCCTTTCCCTCAGATCCCGAGCGCCGGTCGGAGCGAGAGCGTCAGTCGGCCGGATCGTGGAGCCCTGCGCGCACCCAGCCAGGCGTCCGCTCCCTGCCCGGAGCCGCACAGCTTCCCCGGCGGAGGCGGAAGCCCGAAGAGCGCCGTCCTCCAGGCCTCCCCGCGCGCTCCGTACGCCTCGTCGCTCGGCCGGGACGCCGGTGTGGAGGCGTGAGGCGCCGGCGGCCGAGCGCCTGGAGCGGCGGTAGCCCCGCGGCCTGCGCTTCTCCTCCTCCCCCGCCGCCCTCCCACCCTAACCGCGGCGGGGCCCGGCCGCCTTGGCGCTTCTGCACGAACAAAGGAGGCCCCCGCGGCGTCGGCGTAGCTCCGCCCGCCCTCCGGTCCGCTCCGGCCCGCGGCGGCCGCTAGCCCTTCCCGGAGGCCTCGGCCCGGCCCACCGCCCGGCGTCGCGCGCCCGCCTCGCTAGTGCATCCGGGCCCCCGCAGGGTAAGTGGCGCGGGCCGGGACGGCGCGGGGGCGGGAGCACGCCCGAGCAGCGAGCACAAAGACGGGCCCGGGCGAGCGTGCGAGCGGCCGACCGGGACAATGCCCGGCGTGCTGCGGCTCCCGGCGCCCGCCGGCCGGCAGACAAAGGCCGAGGCGGCTGCCGCGCCCGGCTCCCCGCGCCGCCTAGTCGTTCCGGCGAGGGGCCGCCGAGTGCATGACTCAGTGCTTTTTGGAGCAGGCCCTGCCGGGCTTCCCGGTGCGCGGCCTGCGCTGCGAGGGGGATGGGGGCCGCCGGGTCCGGGACTCGGTCGAACCCGCTGGAAGCCGGCCCTGCCGCTCGCTCCCGGAGGCTTTTTAGATTTTTCCGGCGTGATTAAGCGGCTCCCGCAGGATCCTGGTCACGGAGGCCGGTGGAGCGCCTCTCCCTTTGTCTACGGGAACCTTGGGGAACATTAACATTTTGCTCGCCTTCCATGCTCTCCATGGGGCTCTATTTTGAGGAAGGTATTATAAGTTGACTGTCGACCGAAGTTGCCGAAGAATATTACCTGGATATTTAAGAAGAAGTAATTATATAGGTCACAGCCTCGTCTCCTAAATTTGGTAGTCAGTAACTGGGAGAATAGTAAGATAAAAATAAATTTTCTCATTTTGATGATTTCTTTAAAAGTGAGATTTCATAACTTAAGTTGATGAAAATAGCTCACTTTTGCCTTCCAAGTTTATTTTTCAAGTGTCCCGCCCCAAATGACGGATTTGTTTAGTTGTACCTTTTTTTGTGTGTGTGTGCCCAGGACTGGTGTTAAATTTGTAAAAGGCGCTTTTAAAGAACTGAGGTGACCGAGACCTGTAGACCAGGACTCGCCCAAGGTCAGGCTCAGTGGCACTTTAGAGCCTAGAATTCGGGTCTTAGCTCGAGGTTAGTGAGTGGTCTTGCCATTTTTAGCTATGTGCACCTGAACTAGCCAACCCATAGTTTAAAAGAAAAGCTCATTCATTTCAGTTTTTGAATTGGAAAATTCTTTAGTCCAGCGATGTTCGTTTTAAACTATGAACTAAGAAAAGCGGTGAGCTTTATTCAAAAACAAAATAAACCCATTGCAGCTCTACCTGGAAGGGCTAGTGGATGAATACTAAGTTTCTAACAACTTGTTTTGTTTTGCTTTTTCAGAATAGAAGAGAAATAAATACACTATATGTAAACTGACAAACAGCCTATATAGTTTTCATTAAATGTAAGGAATATTTATGCTTCCGAGCATTCTCCACTGCCACATACTCCACTCTTGCCCCCTTTTCAATAACATTTTATTTTGTTCTTAATTCTGCTTGGGTATTATGGGTTGAAGGTGAAATTGTTCTTTGATCCTTCATTAGAAAAACCTGGAGGCCTTAATTGCGTTTTGTTTTGTTATGTGAGATACATGAATACTGCATCGTTAGTTCTTGGGGTTGTGTAGGAGTTGGCAGGCTCTGAGATATAAATAGAAGCTGATTTCAGAGGCCCCTGTTGACTAGGCTTTATGTGAGAGCCTCCATCCAGCTCAGCTTGTCACATTGCAGCCTTGTGACAGGCTGAAGCGCCCTCCCATGTGATCTGAGCTTCAGAGAAATATTAAAGCAAGCTGTGCACATGTGATGGCATTTAAAATCTGACTTACTAGGAGGGGGTCTTATGCCTTTCTTGCCTTTCTGTGTGCTCAAGTTTAAGAATTTGAGTTTTCTGAAGAAGGTGGAATCCTTGTCTAAGTGGGGAAGTCATTAGGTGTGGGATCTCATTCACGTAATAAAAGTACTTTCTTACTGACTAAAAACCGGCTCGATCAGCCGTTGGTCTTAAAATTCCCTCCGTATACTTTTAGAGAATGCCAGGTGTCACTGGAAGTTAGTGTAGTGAGATTAGCATAGTTCCTGAAAAACGCTCAACTTTCTGCATAGAGTAAAGGTCAGCGTGGAAAAAATAAAGATACCTAATTTTTTATTTGAATTATTTTTTGTGCTTTTGTTACACTGAACATTTAAAAACCTCAGCTGAAAGTGTTTATTAAACTGCATAAGTAATCTTGAAATATTTATGCTGCCCAGCTCTGAAGTGAGTCAGCTAAATTCCACTCACTATTTAAAGAGACAGTGTCAACTAAATTACTACTATTGTTCTAAACAGTAGCTTTTAATCATTATATACAAGCTTGATTTGCTCAAATTAAGTGCTCTTGTGCGAACGAAAGGAAAGATTGCTGTCATTTAACTGTTCAAGACTGGGTACTTACGGTCAGCATTCTGTCCCGTCAAATTGGTTATTCCTCCTTTGGTTTTTTTTTTTGTAATTTTGGTAAGGAATTAATAGGTTGTGTCTTACTGTGTAGTAGCTTAAAAAAAACATGACCACAATTTCCTTTTAACCAAATACTCCCAAATAATGCTTTTTGCATAATTTTTTTGAAAAGTAAGTTTTCCTAATTTTTTTTCTCTTACATAATGGGAAACTTAGTAAATTTAGCTCATTTTATGCCAATTTAAACAACTTTTGGAAGGCCCAGGTATGCTTGCTATTAAAGTTCTATCTGGTAGCCTAGCATTAAATATTAACCATGACCAAAGAGTGTGTTTTTATATTGCTTACATCATCAAATTTGGGTTTGGAAAGGTTTTAGGTTTTGGCAAGAGAAAAATGCTTGTTAAAGATAATAGAGACTGAAAAATCTGATAATTTCTGCTTCGCAGGTTTCTAGGCACTGAGGTGCCTGTCTTAGTAGAAGTATTACTGGTGGGGCCCAGGTATGTCTTTAAGTTAGGTTCAGGGTGTGGTTTGAAGAAAGCTGTAGGTGGACTGTAGAGTGCTTGATGATCTCATAAGAAGACCTGGGTACAGTTCCTAGCACCCCCCCCCCATAGTGACTCACAGCTGTTGAGTCAGTAATGTGCACATACATGCAAACATTTAATGCACATATATACAGTAATCTTAATTTAAAACCTGTAGGGCTAAATCCAGGATTCAGCCAACATGAACTAATAAATATCAAATAGTGATTAATTGGATTTTTTTCTTCCTATTTATGTGCTTACCCTGTTGAAGTAACCATCATTTGAAATAGACTTGTACAAGAGCAGAAAGTAAAAGAGACAAATACTCAAAATTGATTCAGACAACCTTAATTAACTGGCAAGGTGACATCTTCAGAAATTGAAGTTCAGTAGTAAAAGATGAAATCATGCATTTATTATTTAATGGTATAATTTCTTTTTGGTTCTAGAACAATTCTTTCACATTCTTTGTTTTTTAAAGGCAATAAGATACTCATTTCTGTTAACATAAAATTGGTTTTTGTTAGTAACAGACTTAGTGTTTAAAAATAACAAAGGAATAGTGGTGATTGTGTTCAATTTGTTTTCTTGTGACATGCTAATTTCTAAAATTTTGTTTTGTTTATAGCAGAAAAATATGGCTCAGGAAACTAACCAGACCCCAGGGCCCATGCTGTGTAGTACAGGATGTGGCTTTTATGGGAATCCTAGAACAAATGGAATGTGTTCTGTTTGCTACAAAGAACATCTTCAGAGACAACAGAATAGTGGCAGAATGAGCCCAATGGGTAAGTTGTTTCCAAGGAAAAAAACACTTGAACTGGTGGAGAGAAAACCTAAGAATCAAGAGAATATCGAAAACTCAAGGAGAGAGTGCCTGACAAGAGCTAAACATTAAGACAACAGCCCAAGTGCTTGCCGTGACTACCTCACTGTTCTACAAAGATCTTGTAATATTTTTAGTTTTCCTTTTTGAAGTTTTCATACATGTGTTCTTTGGAATATGACCTTTTTTTTGTCTGAATGTCAAGTATAGGATTGCAGTACAGTGAAGGTGCTTAGATCATTAAATTAAATGCAAGTATTGATACTTACTAAGTCTTTACTAAATGGGCTTTTGTAGTGCTGACTTGTTTCTTACAGCTCCCTCTTTTTAAATAGGGACGGCTAGTGGTTCCAACAGTCCTACCTCAGATTCTGCATCTGTACAGAGAGCAGATGCAAGCTTAAACAACTGTGAAGGTGCTGCTGGCAGCACATCTGAAAAGTCAAGGTAAGAGTGAACATTTCTGTCTCTAACAGAAAAGTCAAGATGTCTGTGCTATATATACAATAATCAAGGTGGTTGTATCAGGTGGCCTTGGCTTTGCCTGCATTGTGCACTGAAAGATTCCATTAATAAATATCTGGCTCTTGGATCATTGATTAAAGGTGTATATCACAACTTAACCCCATAAACCCCTCAAGACCACTGTTAAAAATGTTGTTTTTATTTCTTTGTAATTGAGGATTAGGGGTTGTAAAGAGTAAGACTGTTGGCTGTATTACAGTGCCTCACAAGGTGCTTCACACAGCTGCTCCTTTTGTCCTTAAATTATAGGCAGTTAAAACACTTTCTAGGTCTACAGTGTGATACTATACAAATATGCAGCCATGAGTCAATGAGCCATTTATGAAATTACTTTATTTTTACTCAGTATTTATGTTTGGCATCCAATATCTTTTCCAAATTTTTAAATTGATGTGGTGCCGTGTGATCATGTTGAAAATAAGACATAATTTGAACTTGAATTGACAACTTATCTCAAAAAATAATACCCTTAACATCTTTAAAAATAATTGTTTGCTTGAACTCAAATAGAAATGTGCCTGTGGCTGCCTTGCCTGTAACTCAACAAATGACAGAAATGAGCATTTCAAGAGAGGACAAAATAACTACCCCGAAAACAGAGGTGTCAGAGCCAGGTATGCTTTTTAAGTTTAATACTAGTTCAGTTCTGAATTTCAAAGTATGAGAAAGAATTGAGTTGGTAATGGGATTCGCTCCTTTTATTGAAGGACCAAAGAGGAAGGGCTATACATTACAGACCAAGCAAATAAGTAGTATCTATATATATGTATGTATATATATATAAACTAGTTAGTACTTTTACCCTCTTCTGCTCCTCCCCTCATTACCCTCACTCCTAAAAACAATCAAGTAGTCTGGAAACTGTTTATGTGGTAAGAACTTAAATGACTTTAAATGTCATGGCCATGGGGAGTTTTATAATAACTGTTTAGTCTCAAGTCTGTCGGTGTTGTAGGAAACAGTAAAGCAAAAGAACATACTAATGCTGAGAATTGAAAAAGTGTGGAATCCCCATTGCATGTGTTGTGAAATTTAAAGGTATGGAAGGGCATTTATTTTCGATGGGTAGTGGTTTGGGAGCTATTTTTATAGCACCACCTAATGTTCTATAATGTTACAAGAAGACCAGCTTGTGTTAGTGTTATCTGTATGCAGATGATTTACTCGAATCAGCTTAGTGGGGGGGAGGCAATGAAGTATAAAACAATTGTAGGGGGAAATGGCAGGGAATAGCACTCTGTCTCAAAGACTTGCTAATATGCCAGTTTTTTGTTTTCCCCCGTACTGTATCAATCTTATAAAGTCAAATTATTTGATCATGAAATGGAAAAGTGACCAAATATGTTTAACACACACACTCTCCCTCATTTTTTCTAACTCACTACTTGGAAGTAGATCTGTAGCTAATAACCTCATTTGTTACTTAATAGAAATCTGTGATTCACTGCTATTTGTTTTTTCTTTACTTTTCTATCCTCCACTTCCCCTGTATGTCTAAGGAACTTATAACATTTTAGGCATGGGCAAAGGAATGGCTAACACTTATATAGCCAACTACTTACTCTCATAGCATTAGGGAAAATTATTTTAAGTTATCATAGTAGTTTTAGGAATAAGGTGTAATGTTTTCTGTTGTTCTGCTACTAGGCTGTTGATAGCACTGTATATTTGCTAATAAGAATTGAGAGATCAGTTTACATTAAAGCAATCTGCTTGTCCTGGAAACTTAGTCATATTAAGCATTGGAATTGGCTTATTGTTTAGGCAGTGGTTTTGTATGGCTAAATTTGCTGTTCTTGTTCTTTGAATTACACTGTAAATCTTTTATAGTATACAGTTAGGTTTAATATAAATATAAGGAATTAGGTTTATAAGCAGATAAAGTTAGGCTTAATATAAGTATTAGATTTTTTGGAATTTCATTTTGAAGAACTAGTAGGGTTTGGAGCTTTAGTAAAGCAGTCTGAATTGTGACTAAGCTTGTTAATAGAAATTAACAAAAGGATTAAGAAAGGGTGGAGCTTTTTGATAATGTCAGTCAAAGTAACAGTGAAATACAGTGTTGTGTCTTTAAAAAAAAAACAAACCTGGTCGGAAGCCCAGTTTCATTCTGTGCCTGTTATCTTGCCACCCACGGGATTAGGCAGAATGGTGACATCAAATTCTAGGGCAGCCTGGGCTACAGGTGTAAGACTATGTATCAGAACAACGAAAACAAATCTTGATCTAGTCTAAAATGAATACTTCAGAAACCTATCCAGTATGTTTGGCAATCTTTGTTTAAATTTTTAGAAAGCAACTGCTTTTGTTTAAAGGAATTAACTGGTCATTTACTAGAGGTATATACTAGTATAGTAATTGTCAGAAAATATTCAAACTTAGGAAAGGGCTACTTAAAAATATATTCTGAATCTTAGCTGTTTCTCTTAAATATTATTCTTTTAAACTTAAATAATTGTCAGTTAATGATTGCCACACAAATTTCTCATTTATAACCTTGTCTTTCAGTTGTCACTCAGCCCAGTCCATCAGTTTCTCAACCCAGTACTTCTCAAAGTGAAGAAAAAGCTCCTGAGTTGCCCAAACCAAAGAAGAACAGATGTTTTATGTGTAGAAAGAAAGTTGGCCTTACAGGTATTAACTCCAAAAGAAACTATTGGTTTTACACATTTTAGAAAAAAAAGAAAGGAAGGATCCTCACATATCCAGAAAGGGTGGACCTGGTGGGTTGTTGAGAAGTTGGATTTCATTTCCATCCAGTTGTAATGTTGGCCTAATCATGTAATTATCATTAACCTCAGGCCTTGTGAATTATTTTTCTTTATTTGCTAGATAAAATCTGTCCCTTTTGATTCCTTTTCCTTTGATGCTTACAGAGAAAAGGTAGCTGAACTGACAGAAGTGAATACCTACTTGGAGCCAGGCATGATATGGTCTAGGTGTTTTTTACAACAGAATTTTGCAGTTCGTTGTATATAGTTTTCATTTGAGACACTCCACTCTGGTGTGGTGTGGTAAGGCTGTGTTTTGAAAAGTCATCCTAATTCTAGAACTTGCCTGAATTCTACCCTATTGTCAGGAGCTGACAGTCTTTCATAATTAATCAAAGCAATAAAAATCATTCTTTTTCTCTAGTGACTAGAGTGCTTGTTTTCCCAATTGATACATGTTGCCAAGTGATTTCTTATTTTTTCAGGGTTTGACTGCCGATGTGGAAATTTGTTTTGTGGACTTCACCGTTACTCTGACAAGCACAACTGTCCATACGATTACAAAGCAGAAGCTGCAGCAAAAATCAGAAAAGAGAATCCAGTTGTTGTGGCTGAAAAAATTCAGAGAATATAAAATTACTACATGTGAAAAGACTGAAACTTGTTTTTATTTTAATATATCGTAGGAAAACATTAAAGAGCAGATGCATGGCCATTTTCCTTTGATGTTCTCCAGAGTTTTGCTTTATATTTGTCTGTCTTAAAATTGATATTTTAGGATGTTTGGGTGTTTGTTACAGGCAGAATTGGATAGATACAGCCCTACAAATGTGTATGCCCTCCCCTCAGTAAAATTGGACAAAAATCTGCACAACAAATTAAAATACACAGATATTGGGAACAAAATTTAGTTCCATGTGCCAAATTAAATGAATGAAATCTCTGCATGTTTGCAGCATATCTGCCTTTTGGGAATGTAATCAAGGTATAATCTTTGGCTAGTGTTATGTGCCTGTACTTAAAAAAAAAATGGTACACCAGAAAAGGACTGGCAGTCTACTACCATAGTCAAACTTCACCTTAATTTCGACATGACTTTTGGAAGCAGGAAGAAAGCTACAAAACCAGTATTTTGGTGCCATGTGTAAACCTGGTTAAATTGGTCTTCTAAAAACTCAATTAGAACATTCTGCGAAAGGTAACGTCACAGCTGGTTATAAATAAAACCATCGAGTCAACAACAGGGTGCCTGAGATAATCTTTGGAGCTTATTGTGCTGGCCTGCACCAGAAGATACCTGCATTCTCATTACTAAAAATTGTAGCACAGAACTGCACTAGGATTTGTTTACAAGAAGAAATTAAACTCTACGTTTGGTTTTCACATATAGCAGCTCTGTTAAATAACATGCATCTGAGTTTTAAGTTGCAAAGATATCTGAACAGTTAATTTTTCATGTGCATCTTTTGTTGAATGTTTTGGTTCAAGAAAGAATGTTTAAAGCTTTTTAAAGACTTCAGTTCTTAATGTAACTGTACCCTTATGCATGGAAAATCATAACCAACATGGCTGCAGTAGACTTCTTTAGTGGTATCCAGCACCACTTGCAGAGGGCTGCTTTATCATATTGTATTTGGGTGTAGGACTCTAGTGTTCTTGGGTGTATTGCATGGGCTGCATTATCTACAGCATTGTACAATAACAACTAGAAAAGGCAGTATATTTCACTGATGCTTGTCTGGTAATATCACTTCTGTGTTATAATGGAAGGTTTTTTGTGATGTATGAAACTTGTGTTTTTTATATATAAATGAGTATAGTTAGATTAGTGTTGTGGTAATGCCTGTTTTCATCTGTAAATAGTTAAGTATGTACACAAGGCACTACTTCTGATTTATTGCAGTGTTCAGTCCTAGTTTTTCTTTATTAAAACATTCAGTTTTGCTTCAATTTTATGTACTTTAGTTCTGAGTTAGATTTGCAGATGTGTACAGATAGGTTCATATTTATGTATTGCACATAATCATGCTATTCAGCATTGATGCTATATTGTATTATGTAAATAATAAAAGCAGTGTACAGAGGGAAACTTCTTGTTCATTGGGTTTTAAGCCTTAGAACCTAAAACGGGGAAAATGGCGAAATACTCATATTCAACTTGATAAAGACTCTATTCCTAATTTATTTTTCATGGTTATTCTTGAACTCAGTCACGTGAGTACTATAAGTTGGTCATGAAACTTCCTCAGCTGTGGTAAATGCTAGACAAATTAAGAACTCAGGTGAAATGATCCTAAAATTTAAAAAAGGAATGAAATTTAAATAATTGTATATATGTATGTTTTCTATGTTGTGTTTCTTCTGGTGACATAAGAATGCTGAATGATAAAGTAGGTATGACTTTTTTCCTTACAAAAAGCAACTGCCTTCTGTATGTGTTTGACTCTAATGTGGAGAGGAAAGAAAGCACATATTTGGGAAGAGGCTTAAGATTTGGATATAAACAAGGGTACCTTAAAGAATTGGATATAGACAATTTAAGAATATCAACTTGGGAGAATTCAGTGTGTAAGGCACTTAGGAAGACTTTGGATTCTTCCTAGACTATTGGACTCTGTCTCATTCTAGACTAGACTTCACTGCTATGTGTATTGAAATTAAGTCCTATGTTAGTCCTGTAAATAGGCAAATCTTTGCATGTAATCAAGTGGGCCTTATCTCTAGGGCTTCTAACCCAGTGGATGGTTATGAAGGAAAGGTGGTTTTTTTTTTTTTTTTTTGGAGACAGTTTCTTGGGGTATTTTTGTTTTTGCAATAAGGATTTAGTATTGGGCTATCCATTTGCTTTAAGGCCTCACTGCCCTGCTCCATTTGTTAAAATGATAACACATAAATCGGGAATGTCAGCAAAGTACATAAAACTACAGTAAAGAATTTAAAATTCAATGGCACTTAAATGTTTGGTACTTAGTTTTTCAGAATGATACTTAGGATTTGGATAAAAAAGTTTGGTTGCATAAAGCTACATAAGAGAGGCTAAGTTGTGCAGCTTTGTTTTTGATTTTGAAATGATCTTGCTTTGTACCCAAGGCTAACCTTGATTTTATGGCAATCTTCCAGTCTTGGTATTGTAAGATTGTCCCACCGTGCCTGGCTGGTTTGTTGATAATGTTTGAGACTAGCTGCCAACTATAAATCACCTTTTAGCCCGGGCTGATCTCAAACTCCTACCTCAGCATTTCAAGTGCTGTATTATAGGTGAGCTGCCATGCCTAACTTATGATCTCTAACTTTGACAGTCAGTTGAAGTGATTGGAGTTGTTCTGAGTTGGGTTCTCCGTGAAGATGTCTATATTAAAGTTCCTAAGTAGTAACACACAAAGGGTAAATATTTAAGGTAGTAGCAAAATGCTAATAAACATGTCTGGTTTTTCATATAATATGTTCTTAGGGTTTCAGACTGATTATATGGCTATTTGAAGCCTCAGCTTGTCCAATACCCACCACTTGAGGTAAGTATGCATTTTAGGTAAATGTCATAACTTAGATGAGTCTTTACTTTCTGTAAATAACCTGCATATGTATAAATTCATCTAATGTGTGTCTTCATTTGAAACAATTTTTAAAGTAGATGTCAGTGATACTAGGTCATAACTGGAGAGTGTTAGTGTCATGAAGAATGTGTGCCCAAGCAAGAGCTCGCAAGTTCAGTTTCCAGCACCTACATTATGACTGCTTGTTAACTGCAACACTTGAGGGAACATTCTAGATTGGGTGGGTACCACAAGCCTAACAACATGGGTTTGAACTGGAGGACCCAGAGAAATTCCCATCGTTTGACCTGCATGCAAGCACCCGACACAAAAACTGAAAACTGTGTACAATTTTATATACTTTTCTGTTCACGTAAAAATGTGCTTTGTAGCACAAATATAAATCCATTTTGTTTACAACAGCTAAGTGCTTTTCTTTGATAGGGGATGCATTCTTCACATGAGAAGTTTTTTTGAATTTTGAGACCGATCCCTATGTAGCCTTGGCTCTCTCAGAACTTGCAGTGTAAACCAGGCTGTTTTGAACTTTGTAAATATGCAAATTGATACTCTTGAATTTTTTTCCTGATGATTTTTTTTGCAATTGCCACCACAGAACTTGTAGATTGTAGCTAGACATGTAGCATTTTGTACCTCTAATTCTAGCACTCCAGAGGCTAAGAGGAGGATTACTACAAGTTTCAGGCCAATCTGGGCTGTGTGAGACACTAGGATTTGGGGGTTTATGTGCATCTGAAATGATATATACAAAGGCAGTTCAGGAGTTAATTTTGTAATTTACTCAAGTTAATAAGAAATCTATACATTATTAGCATTCTGTCACGGGCAGGAACTGTTCACAAAGAAATAGCCCATAAACTCGTGTAACATATGAGCCCAAACATGAAAATAGCTTGTGTGTGGTGTGTAATCAATCCATGGCAAGCTGAAGTTCATTGGCCTTTTTTCCATGCTTCTGTTTTCTTGTTCCTCCCCATCACTAAAGATAGTCAAACATGCAAATTAACACCTAAATAGGGCCTGAGGCTGTCTGTGGTGTCTACTACAAAACCCCTAGCTTTTTTGTTTTGGGATTTTTTTTTTAGTTCTATGTCCACACCTATGAGAAAAAACTTCACTAGAGTAATATTTAACAAGGAAGCCTTCCTTGGACCTAAGGTATATAGCTAATAAAGTTACATAGAGGATTAAATGGCTTCTAACATTAAGCTTTGAGGTTAATGTAAAGTCATTCTGCAGTAAAAACTTAGAAGAATGGTTACTCTGCCAACTTGTTAGTCTAGCCATTTGCATTTTACATCATACAGATAAGCTAAAACATTTTTTAAAGTGCCATTTTTAAGCCGGGCGGTGGTGGCACACGCCTTTAATCCCAGCACTTGGGAGGCAGAGGCAGGCGGATCTCTGTGAGTTTGAGACCAGCCTGGTCTACAAAAGCTAGTTCTAGGACAGGCTCCAAAACCACAGAGAAACCCTGTCTCGAAAAACCAAATAAATAAATAAATAAAGTGCCATTTTTAGCTATACTTATTATTCAATTGACATAAAAATTAGATTGTGTTGAAGATCTGGGCTCACATAACCAATTTTATTACTGCCTAGATTACCAGAGAGAAAAATAATATCAGATGATACTTACTTGAAACAAGTTCAGTCTACTCATATGTCACCTTGGGCAGGGCTTTTAAGCATGGATGATATGTTTGTGGCTTTAGAGGAAAGTGAGGTTTCTGTGGTGAATTTTAAAAAGTTTGTTAACTTGGTAAGTTGAGACGTGTAACTAGCAAGAAGCCCACATATACCTGGTGACTTCTGTGTAAGACATGACGGCTTTGTCATTTAATACTAAGAGGATTCTGCCAGTAAGAAATACTGGATGAAGAAAGTAGTAAGGTGACACTTATTCCTGGAAAACTTAAAACCAAGGTATAAAATGGAAACATTAACAGTAATGTTGCCTTTTTTAAGACCTTTCATTGGGCTCTTTCATGTTTTTTTGAGTTTTCTTAAGTAGTTTTTTGTGGTATTAAGAATAGTAGGAATCTTAAATTTCTGAAGTCCATGGTTGTTTTTTATATATGGTTCTTCAACACAGTTAACTCAGTTTTATTTAATTCCTACTAGGAACATCTTGATGTAATGAAACAAGGTCTGGTTTAGGTATAC